ATCCGGCTCCCTGCTGCGCAGGAAGCCTGCCTCTCCCTCTCCCAGTCCCCCTGCTTGTGTTCCCTCTCTCGCTGTGTCTCTCTCTCTGTCAAATAAATAAATCTTAAAAAAAAAAAAGGAAATAATAGTAATAAATAAAATCGTAAAAACAGAGTCTGTGGTTTGTCTCTTTTTTTGTTTGTTCATTTGTTTTGTTTCATAACTTCCACATATGAGTGAAATCATATGATATTTGTCTTTGTCTGATTGACTTTATTCCACTTAGTGTTATACTCTCCAGTTCCATCCATGTCATTGCAAATGGCAAGATTTCATTCTTTTTATGGCTGAGTAATATTCCACTGCATATATTACATATATATCACATCTTCTTTATCCATTCATCTATGGCAGGACACTTGGGCTGCTTCCATCTTGGCTGTTGTAAATAATATTGCAATAAACATAGGAGTGCATATATCTTTTCAAATTAGCATTTTCATTTTCTTTGGGTAAATACCCAGTAGTGTGATTCCTGGATCATATGGTAGTTCTATTTTAAATTTTTTGACAAACTTCCATACTGTTTCCACAGTGGCTGCATCAGTTTACATTCCCACCAACAATGCATGAAGGGTCCTTTTTCTCCAGATCCTCACCAGCACATGTTGTTTCTTATGTTTTTGATTTAAGCCATTATGATAGGGTGAGGTAATATCTCATTGTACTTTTGATTTGCATGTCCCTGATGATGAGTGATGTTGAACATCTTTTCATGTGTCTGTTGGCTGTCTGTATTTCTTATATTAATTAAACCAACAAATTTAAACTTAGATTTTATTTACTGAAAATTTTCCTAGATCACAGGAACTTGAAAAACAGGTTACCTTCTATTATATTTTTGAGATTTAGAAATGCTTGATTTATAAATGCTTAATTTTAGGCCAACTAAATAGAGCTCTCTTACAAATTAATTTTGGTAATACTATCAGGAGGTAGAAAAATACCATATTTAGGGGCGCCTGGGTGGCTCAGTTGGTTAAGCGACTGCCTTTGGCTCAGGTCATGATCCTGGAGTCCCTGGATCGAGTCCTGCATCAGGCTCCCTGCTCGGCAGGGGGTCTGCTTCTCCCTCTGACCCTCCCCCCCTCATGTGCTCTCACTCATTCTCTCTCTCTCAAATAAATAAATAAAATCTTTAAAAAAAAAAAAAGGAAAAATACCATATTTATAATATATAAAACAGAGATTTTTATAGCTTTCCATTTTAAAATTTTACCTATGAATCAGGTATAACAATATAAAAACTCACTAGTTTGTAAGTTAAGTTTATCTGCTTGGATAGCTACAGCTTTTTACTCACAATATTTGTGGAGAAGGCACATGATTTATATTTGTCCTTGACAAGTAATCTTATAGAAGCTGTGGAGCACTTTGTATTTTTTAAAAGGTCCCTAACCCAGTCCCCCATGTAGTCTGAGGCATTTCTTTAGGTACCTCCCACGGTGTTTATATTTCAAATACAAGGTAAGATTCATATCTTGAAAGGACAGAGAAAGAATGTAAGTTCCTCCAAGAAGGACTTTGGTTTTTTTAAGGCCAATAATTTTACAAGCCTTATGAGAAAAATAGGGGAAGTTTTAGGACTGGTAAAAAGGAATAGATGGACTTTGCATTGCATCTAGAGCTGCATTTTTTAATTTAGTAAAGATTTGTAATATAAGGATAATTGCTCTCCATTTTTTTCCCCAAGGAATAACAAGGGGTTGATCTGCCCACCCAGTTACATTAGCTCCAATTTGCTTTATTTTTCTGGATTGTTAAAAAGAAAACCACAGGCCCAAAATGGTGTTACATAGGTTAAGGCCCCCCGTCAGTAAACCAAGGCTTAATACCTAACCTGACTGCAATTTCTTTAACCCCCCAGAATTTTTTTTTTTAAATGCAACTTTTTTTTTTTTTTAAGATTTTATTTATTTATTTGACAGAGAGAGATACAGCGAGAGAGGGAACACAAGCAGGGAGAGTGGGAGAGGGAGAAGCAGGCTTCCCGCTGAGCAGGGAGCCTGATACGGGGCTCGATCCCAGGACCCTGGGACCATGACCTGAGCTGAAGGCAGACACTTAAAGACTGAGCCACCCAGGCGCCCCAACCCCCCAGAATTTTTAACCAGTCAACATGAGAATTTCCTGGTCAGCACTAGGAAGTTTACTTAGGACGGTGACCTTGCCTAAAACAATGGACTCTTTGCTAATAATTTCCTTTTTTCCCACTCCCTCTCTCCCTTTAAAAACCTTTTTCCTTTTCTGCAGCCCTTTGGAGCTCCCCTCTACTTGCTAGATGGGATGCTGCCTGATTCATGAATTGATTAAATAAAGCCAATTACACCTTCAAAAATTTCCTCAGTTGAATTTTTGTTTATTAACAGATTTGGTGGCAGTTATGGGATCCAAAGTGAACTTCTGGCAGCATTTGGGGACAACAAGAAATATAGGTGTGGTACCCACAAACACTTTGAGTTCACTCTCTTTCTCACATTTCCAAGGGCTATAGGTGAGTTCCTCTTGGTTCTGAGCTGTCAGTTCTGCCTAGAGCTCACGAGGGCTGGCAGTTTCGCTTGGAAGACTGACTGAGCTGGCAGAAAGGTCTGCCCAGAGCCAAGGCCCTAGCCTATCAGACCATAGATCCCCCGGGGGGAAAAACCTCAGCAAGGTTCCATGGGAATTGATGGTATGCGCACAGGGCCTTCTTGTCGTCAAGATGAAGTAACATCTCTTGGTAACTGCCAATACTTTAAGGTGCACATGTTTGTTTGTCTTGTTTTATGGAGATAAAGGCTACTGCTAGAGGGGATCTCAGAGGCCAAAAAGCCACAAAAATTGGTGGGCATGGGTCAAGCATTTAAAGGCTGCTGGAGCTCTGGCCACCTCAAGAAGACTCCTGTGATAGGATAAGTGGGTCACAGAATGGGTTAGATTGACAACTAGGTCACCTGCCAACCTCAAGAAAATTTCAGTGCAATGAGGTACACTGTCAAACACAACCCCCAATCCAGTGGCATGTTCCTTTTAAGTATTTCTTCGGTTCTAAGAAACCCAAAGGCTTAGCTAATGGGATCCTTAAATCCTAGAGTCAAGTGTGCCACCTTTCAGCACATTTTATGTCTAAGAGCTATAGTCCCGGAAGTTGTAGATGTGTAGCAAAAACAGCAAATCTTACTAAGCTGGTTTGGTGTCCTGAGGAACTTCGGTCAGTAACCATCAGGTTGAAGACCCCAAAATAAGCGTGGACAAAAATGTTGGTTAACTCCATTTGCGGCCAAGGTCCTGCCAAAGTGCTGCCAGCCCTTAGGAGAATTACAACAGAGAAGCACAATGGCCATGATGGGGAAGGTTCCAATTAGCTACAATCATTTAAGAAGTGCACTTCAAAGCAAGGTTCCCAAATTAAGCAAAATGGGACATCTGTTTTAATTGGCAAGCAGAAGCCTCCCAAAGGTTATCAAAATTCCAAAGTAGTTTCATCAAATGACTCTTGTTGCAAAAGGCTAATGAAAAATTAAAGCTGTAAATGGTACTTAAAACAAAAGACCATAAGACTGATGTAACTCCTACTGCTTCTCTCTTTCCTCTTTGGAGTGCTCATTCTACTAATTCTGTCTAAATTGTTTTTCCAGCTCTAAACAGACTACACAACCATGAACAAAAGTCCACCAAGTGAATGGCCTTATAGACACCCCCATATCTCCCTTCAAAGTAGAGTCCCTATATGGGTCCCTCCCAGAGTTGTCAAAACTGAGGAATTTTCTGGAACACTGCTATGTTATTTCCTTAAACAGCCAAAGAGAAACTGGTAAATACCTGCAGAGGGGATCCCAAAAAAACTGGCAGAAGCCAGCAAAGGGTGAAATTCCTTATCAGAATCTGCTCTTCCTAATCTCTGTCTGTGGTGCACAGTCAAGAGAAGACAATAACATTTCCATTGTCCCTTCCTTTCCAAATCCAGACCTACTGACTACTGATCCTTTCTCTCCCAGGGAAAGCTACTGTCTTCTTGCTTGACTCATTTTCATAACGGGGCCTGGCTTTCTACCTGCCTGGGACAGGCAGGTTGCTGATTCTCTCTTTTGGCTCTCATTGGGAGCAACTCTGGATTTGGGGAAAGTAATAAATATCCTTTGCACCCTGTCTGAGGACCCCTCTTACACCAAAGGGGAGTTATTCAGTACTGCCAAAAATATCTAAAGTTAAAACTATGTACGCAGAGGGAAAAAGTAAATTGAAGATAATGTAGTTCAATAGATTACAAAACTAGAAATGCAACTCAAAAGGCAATTCAAAGTTCACCTATTCTTTTACCAATCCCAAAACTTCCCCTATTACATGACTTCAAATTATTGGCTTTAGGAAACCAAAGTCCTTCAAAAAAAAACCAAACAAACAAAACAACTTGCATTCTTTCTCTGTCGCTTAGAGTCATACATCTTATCACGTATTTAAAATATAAACACAGCTCACAATTACCTGAGACTGAAAGAAAAAAGGGGAAAGAGGCCCTTTTCACATACAAACTGCTGAAAGGGCTCTTGTGCCCAAACTCTAGTAGAGTCTCCTTAAGATTAATTCCAGGGAGGGGCGCCTGGGTGGCTCAGTCGTTAAGCCTCTGCCTTTGGCTCAGGTCATGATCCCAGGGCCCTGGGACCGAGCCCCGCATCGAGCCCCGCATTGAGCCCTGCATCGGGCTCCCTGCTCCGTGGGAAGCCTGCTTCTCCGTCTCCCACTCCCCCTGCTTGTGTTCCCTCTCTCTCTGTGTTGCTCTCTGTCAAATAAATAAATAAAATCTTAAAAAAAAAAAAAAAGATTAATTCCAGGGACACATAGAAATCTTAAAAATTTTCTCCACAAAGTTCCTCCACTGTAGGGTCTTTGCAACTATCTGTGTGTATGTCTCTCTCTGTATATATGTAGTAAATGTGAGTTACTATTCTACCTCCAGACGGTACTGCTAAAATTAATTTGCCCAGGCAAGCGCTTATAAGGACTGGACATTCTAAAACTCTCAGATAAAAACTAACCAAAATGTGTTTTTTTCAAGTTCTCATGATCTGGAAAAATATTGGTTTGGGTTTTGGTTTAATTGAAATAGATGTGTCTTTAGAGTTAACAGCATTAAAATTAAAACTTTAATTCTGCCTGGGTTTACAAGAAGTCAAATAAAGTTGATGTGATCTCTGTTATAAAATGTAAAAAAAAAAAGGCATCTGGGTGTCTCAGTTGTTTAAGCATATGCCTTCAGCTCAGGTCATGATCCCAGGGTCCGGGGATTGAGTCCCACATGGGGCTCCCTGCTCAGCCGGGGAGTCGGCTTCTCCCTCTGTCCCTCCCCACCCCAACCCCGGCTTGTGCTCCCACGTGCTCTCTCTCTCTCAAAAATAAATTTAAAAATCTTAAAAAAAAATAAAAAATAAAATGTTTTAAAAAAAAAAAAAGAAGAAAAGAAAAACCCAGCTTGGGAGAATTAACTGACCTTAATGTCTCATGAAGTTTTTTTGGGGTAATCTAAACATAATTATTAAAAACAAGTAAATTAAATAGGTGTAAATAAAATAAAATTTTAGGTAAACTTTTAAGTAGTCTCCCAAATCTTTTTGGTAACCTAAAACCCTAAAGTTTTGCTGAGTTACATTAAATGATAAATTTAGTTAAATTCATTAAATATCTAGATCATTTCTAAATAATATAAAATACTGAAATATCAATTACTGGACATAGATTTATTTACTTTTTGGCTTCCTTATTACAGAGAAACTAAAGATATGTTTGGGTCTGTTAGTAAACATGCTTGGGATTTATTAAATATTATATGATGGCAGTGGCTGGCTGGCTCAGTTGGAAGAGAACATGTGACTCTTGATCTTAGGGTTGTGAGTTTGAGCCCCATGTTGGGGGTAGAGATTACTTAAAAATAAAATCTTCAAAAAGAAAAAGATTATACTATGAAAAAGTACATTTCTAAAAATTGTGAAATATATTCATCAGTATACCAACTTAAAAAAATACTGGTGTAACAGAATTCATCATTGCTTACTTACTAGCTTTCACTAGAAATTAAGGGTTTCTTTTTTTTTAAGATTCTATTTATTTATTTGAGAGAGAGAGAGAGCATGAGAGGGGAGAGGGTCAGAAGGAGAAGCAGACTCCCCACTGAGCAGGGAGCCTGATGTGGGACTTGATCCTGGGACTCCGGGATCATGACCTGAGCCGAGGCAGCTGCCTAACCAACTGAGCCACCCAGGCGCCCGAAATTAAGGTTTCTAAGAGCTAAAAAATTCTAGTAAGGGAAACAATACTCCATGCAAAAGAAGTAAGATGTGTATTTTTGGTTACAATAAATAAGAGGGATGCGAATACATTTTAGTTGAGGGAGAAGAAAGTAATCCTGTCCTAAAGTGAGGCTGGTAATTTAAAGATGGAAACCTCAGGACAAAATCCAAACGTAAAAAACAAAGTTGCAGAAGATTTGTGAAAAAGGAATCGTTGGAAAGGAATTTTATGGGTGGTCAGGACTGACTAAGATTAAAATGAGTATGTTTTACTTTTTTTTTTTTAATTTTTTTTAAAGATTTTATTTATTTATTTGACAGAGAGAGACAGCGAGAGAGGGAATACAAGCAGGGGGAATGGGAGAGGGAGAAGCAGGCTTCCCGCTGAGCAGGGAGCCCGATGCGGGGCTCGATCCCAGGACCCTGGGATCATGACCTGAGCCGAAGGCAGACGCTTAACGACTGAGCCACCCAGGCGCCCCAAAATGAGTATGTTTTAATATCAAAAGTAAGTTGGTACAAAATAAAAATTTGGTTTTCTCTCTGTTAAAAGGACAAAGGGTATTTTTTGTTGGTTTGTTTGTTTAGACTTTTGGTCTGCTTAAATCTTTTTAACCTGGAACATTCCAAAAGATTTGCTAAACTAAGTAGGCTCACTTGATATGTTAAATTATATAGGAAGCATTGCCAAATAAGAAGTAATACTAAGTTTTCTTTATGTTGTATTTGTAAGATTTGGGCACATGTGAAAGCCCATTCTGCTTCTACAAACAATGGCCCCTCACTACCAGACGTTTGCCATCCCGATACCCTTGTAACTTAGCAATAGTCCAATCCTGAATCTGAGAAATTGTTGTTAAGCATCTGCCTTCAGCTCAGGTCATGATCCCGGGGTCCTGGGATCGAGCCCCACATTGGGCTCCCTGCTTTATTTATTACAATAAATAATTTATTTGACAGAGACACAGCGAGAGAGGGAACACAAGCAGGGGGAGTGGGAGAGGGGCTCCGGACTCCACCCCACCAAACCTCATCTATATTCCAAAACCCCATCATTAAGATCCAAACAATTAAATGCACCATCTTCTGGCACACCTTTTTAAGGACATTAAATTGTATCTAAATTTCCTTCTGGAAGCTACATTATTGATAGAAATGCTTTGTTCTTGTAGATTGCTAAGATATTTGTAAACTGAGGGAGACTCATGTCTTGCAGGATTGTGATCTCTATAAATTAACTTTTTTTTTTTCCTTTCTTTAACTTTAGGGCAGCCAGGAGTGTCTGAAGAATGTCACCTGTATCCCATGGCGGGGGGGTTGTGGGGTGTCAGCTTCTGCTTTGTCCTCAGCTTGCCTTCTGCTCCCTCATCATTAAGAAGGAGGAATTTATGTTACATGTGGAGCTTTAATTTTTGTTCTAATTTGTTTTTTTCATCTTGGAAAAAGGATTCCAAGGATTCCCTTGGTAAAAGCCTGTTACATTCTTTTGTATCCACTTTTGAATTTGGTCTTTACATAGATGCCATTAAGACAATTCTTTAGGATGAGAGCCCTGTTACATTTTGCAAACACTGAAGTTTCTCTGATTCAGAAGATCCATTGTCTGGCCATTGATGAGTAGGATGTATTCATCTCAATAGTGAGTCAAACCTAAGCCTTCTTATGGCTTAACCAAGGATACAAGAGGCATCCATCCCACAAGAGAATGTAAAATACGCTGCCCTCACAAGATCTAGAGAGTTCATTTCCAAAGATAGACTATGAAGTAAAGGCATTTGTTGCTTATTTTTATGACTAGTAAAAATACGCTCTCTGGTCTTCACCATCTGGAGGGTGCACTTACTGGGGTGTACCTGGTAGCCAGTTGAATAGAGTGGGGTTCCAAGACATGCTCTTGGGCTGTCTGTGTCAGCAATCAGAGGAGTTTGTCATAAGGGGTCCCAGAACATACTGGGCATTTGTTATCTCAAACTTTGTTGTTTGTTAGTGCTGGAAAAGTCCCATTTCAGTAGCACCTGTTCGTGTCACAGATTAGTGATCTGTGACTGGAGGTGTTCCATGTTCCTGTGGGAGACTAGAGACACTGTTTTCACGACACCATCCTTATTGCCTGTGCAACAACAAAGGCCTTTGCTATCATAGTTTATTTTTGGGAGTGAAGTTTTTGGATCACGGGGGCTATACGGTCTGCAGTCACTGCAGGGACACCTCTTGCGTCCATGGTAAAGATTTATTCTGGGGCGCCTGGGTGGCTCAGTCGTTAGGTGTCTGCCTTTGTCTCAGGTCGTGATCCTGGAGTCCTGGGATCGAGCCCCGCATTGCGCTCCCTGTTTGGCGGGAAGCCTGCTTCTCCCTCTCCCACTCCCCCTGCTTGTGTTCCCTCTCTCGCTCTTGCTCTCTCTCTTTCAAATAAATAAATAAAATAAAATAAAATAAAATAAAATAAAGATTTATTCTAAGCTTTGGAAATGAGCTCCAGGACTTCCCATAAAAAGGCTTATTGGATTGTGTCACTATTAGAATAAATATACTAATGGAGATCCTACTCATTAATGGCCAGATGATGGGTCTTTTGAGTTGGAAAAACTTCTATATTTGGAAAATTTTTTAGAGAACTCTCATTCCAAGCAGTTGCCCTTCCGGTATTTATGGGAGGATCAAATTTAAAGAAAAACACAATAAAATTTTAACAGCTAGCCTCAGGGAATCAATAAAATGAAAGAATAAAAGTCAGAACAGAAATTAAACAAATCTGACATAAATCCCCCTTTTGCTCTCCTTTATCCCCCACTCCCTGTCCCTGACCCTCTAGATATTTTGGATCTGGGCCCCTGGTCTAAACTCCCTTTCTCAAAACCCAGCCCCATCTCCTCAGCCAATTTCCTTAAATCCTGAAATTCCACCTTCCCTAGAAAAAAACCCTCTAACAACCAGCTGCCTGTTATAATTTCCCTTTCTTCATGAGATTTGCAGAGAGCACTTCTGCCTGATCTCCAGGCCCAGGGAATACAGTTTGCTTATGTAAATACTGAATGTCAGGAAGTGAATTTAGCAAAAGTGCCCAGGAAGAGCAACAAGGCTTTCTTTGCTACCCCTTATAATTCAATTCCTCCTACTTTCCAGGGATCTGTAATCAACCTCTGCCAGTTTCAGCCATTCCTATGCCAAGTCCTTTGTGGATGTATCCTGGACCCCTAGGGCAAAGAATTCATGTCCCCAGGACAGCAGCAGATCTTTTAAATTATAAAATCCCTTCACCTCTGCTCTTGGAGTGATGTAAAAATGTTGGGGTTCGGGAGTGAACAGTCGTGAAAGAATTCTTGAGATGTCTTTGGTGCAAAAAGGGTGGTTTTATTAAAGCACAGGAATAGGACCCTCAGGCAGAAAGAGCTGCACTGGGGTCATGAGGAGTGGCTGATTATATACTTTCAAGTTGGGAGGGTGTTAGGAATAGCTTAAGTCTCTAAGGAATTTGGAAGCAAGGTTTCCAGCACCTTGAGGGGCTAGCTGTTGTTAGGAAAAGGTCATTTACTACTGTCTAGTAAAACCTTAGTCATGAGACCCTTCAGATGTATATCAGCGGGCCATATGCTTGGAGGATGATCACTAACATATATCTTGGGGTGGTGGGTAGAGATAAAGGAGGTTTCCAAAGGGATTTTCATATGTTGAAGAAGACTTATAGGATCCTGGAGTTAATGTTAAGCTAAGGTTGCCTTTTGCCCATATCAAAGTATTAACATCGAGGCAGTTGAGTTCCAAGAGGAATGTCACTCTGCCTGTATCAAGGACTTGTCAATGGACTATAAGTTTTAAGTAAATTTAATTTTGTTCTTTTGCCTTTGTTCTCCACATCAGGAGGATCCTACCAAATTTAAAGACAAATTAGAAAGATTAGTGGTTATTTACAACCCCACTCCCAGGGACCTAGACTGGCTATGAAGGGGTGTTCTTCCTACCCATGATTATATGATGGTTAGGAGACAAGCTAGATGGTCCCTGGAGAAAACCCCCTCAGAGAGGAAACAGATGGCCTGAGCCTTTCCCAGGCCTTCCTGCGCATGACCCAGAAACGGCTCAGCCGGAGGCTGATATCCAAGGCCTCAATATAGGAGCTATATTAGAGGTGTTCCCCCTCAAAGTAAATTGGTCTGAGGTTGAACGATGTACTTAGAAAGAAGAGCACATAAAAGCCTTTGTTGAATGTATATACAAACTTTTCAAAGGCAAACTGTTAAATCCAGAAGCCCTGGAACATAGGAATCTTTTAATTTCTGCTTTAGCAGGAAATTTTCTCCCTGATATTAAATAACAAATCCACACGGTCGGTTGGTCAGGGCAACCACTAAGCATAATAATGGAGGCAGCTACTTAATTCTTTGAAAAGAGCTTGCCGGAAAGCAGGAGGAAAAAAGAACTCATAGCAGCAATTCTTGCTTTGCAACTTGAGTCTTTGGAAAGGTGAAAGCATGACTGAGAGTAATTCAAGGCCCATTCAGAGCTCTCCCTATTTGCCTCCAGGCAATCACAGATATTGCAAGAATGCAGGTCACTGGAAGAGAAATTGTCCTGTACTTAAGAAAAAGTAAATTTTAAGAAGCAATTTCCCTAAACCCCATCATCCTGAGAAAATTTGTTTTTCTCCTGAGAGACAATTCCCCCTTAAATGACAGTGTCAGCCAGGCCTCAGTCACACCCCAAAGCCCACCACCATTAACCTTAAAACAGAGGATCAGGAATTGGATTTCTTATTTGGCACTCATGTGACTTTCTCTACCATCTGCTCAGAGGATTTATCTCTACCTGTCACCTCTGATTCTAATCAGGGGGAATCAAACTAAGCAGGGAGCTCTTATAGACGCCCTCATCCTCCTAAAGGCACTGGCTGAATGAGGCCATAAAGCCTCCAGATTTAAACTTCAATGGGTGCAAACAACTGTTAACTACTTAGGACCTGAGATATCTCAGGGCATTCAAAAGCTGACTCCAAAACACTTTGAGTCAATTTTGTTCATCCCTCTCCCCCAAACAAATAAGTGGTTATTATGTAAATTTTGGGGGGCAGCTGACTATTGCAGCCAATGGATTCCTGATTTTGTAGACTTTGTTAAACCTCTGTATGCTCTTCTCCCAG